ACATGCCCATTCTGAAGGACCCTAGTGGGTAGACAGAGACAATTGTAGACAAGAGGCCTCAACCAGACCTATGCCTTAAAGGCCTTTAAAGTTGATAATCAGCATCTTGAATTTAACCCAGAAACCAAGCAGCAACCAGGAAGCATCTGAGTCACATAAATATAAAATAGCACCCCATCGCTGTTTGTACCTGTATTTGTACCTGTGCAAAGGCCCTTTTGGCCACAACTTCTTTTTGTTCTGATTGATTTAAACAATTTAATGAATCAAATGCGGTACAAAAATTGTTATTAATTGGATATTAATATTAATTAGCACCAAGGATTCAGGATTCATAATTAACTTTTGTTTGATTGGGTAGATCTACCATATCCATATTTCAGCCAAAATCATGTTCCCTTGAACTGGGAACTTACAGTAAGTTAAATACAAACTAATTTAGCTCATTATTCTCTAAAAATATTACTGCAACATGTCCTCCAGTTCTGTTGGCTCAGGACCTTAAGAACTGTATTCTAACCTGTTGGAAAGGCACAAGGTTGAGGGAGGTTGCTCTGGTACTCTTTAACTTACTACCACAATTTTGGTTGTAAATCACTGTGGTTCTTAAGCAAATTCTGGGGCGCTTGCAGGATGGGGCCCTTGGAGCCAACCTGGCTGCAAACACCCCCTAAGTGCCAAAACCCCACTTGGCTTTCATCACAAACCTTTTCAGCTAATATCTTTGAGAGCGACAGGGTGGCTTAGCAAAGAGACTCTGCCCTGCATGGGGTGAAGTCAATCTGGCAGGCAGTCCTTCCACTCTCAAAGAGGCTGGCTAAATAGGTCTGTCCCAACACAGGTCCCAATGGACCTTTTTTTCAGCCAACCCCTTAGGAACCAGAGGGAGTGGTATCAGCAGCCGGCAGCAGCTTGTAACCTTCCCTGCTGACTTTTCCATTGACTTTCTGGGGAAGTTGGCAGGGAAAATTTCAAGTGCCAGTCATAATTGTGAGACTCTTGGAATAAGTTTGGACAGGTTTCCAAAACCCCAGATCGCAATCATATGACTGCAGGGTGCTGCAATGGCTATAATTTCGGGCAATGGACGTAAATTCCTTTGTTCAGTGTGATCGTAATTTTGAACAGTTGCTGAGTGGTTATTAAGCAAGGACTACCTATAGTTATGTAGTTTCTGGCTTGGGTCTTTCAACCTCTCTTAGAATGCCAGGGACTGACCTAAAATATTCAAAATGCAATGTCATCTACCACTGTACTTGATCTTGTAATATAAAACCTTATGCATTGTGGTGTTGCTTCCTGTGACAAGAAATGCTGCTGCAAAACCACTAAGAGATCGAAATCTACCCTTAAAATTCTGCCTTTTTTGTTAGACAAAGAAACCAAGATAATGCATTTACCATAGATACTAATTTTCTATTAAATAATACTGTCTTGCACATCAAAAGCCTGTTTGATAAATGAGTTTGAGCTGCACAGACTCCATCAGGACATGATAGTACAACTCCCCCTGAATTTAAGTTAGATAGATAGATCGATCAATAGATATGCTCACTATTAACTTAAAGGGTAAATTTAACTACAAGTGTATCACCTTTTAATACACAAAGAGAAAAACTCCAAAAAGGGAAGAGAGGCTTCAGTATGGGCTTACCGGAATATACATGTCAGAAATAAGTTATTGGTTCAATTAAATATGTCCTCTCCATCATAATGTGTACATTTGTGTAACCAATGAATCCAAGTTATTTGATTGCATTTCAATCTAGGGCAGCACCACTGTTGGACTCTGCACTGTTTTAGGATCAAAACTAATAGTTACATGTAAACAAGTGGTTATACTACAGATTTATTACTTCCATTGGGTAGCAACTTTATCACAGGCAAGCACATGACACACTTCCCTATGCCAGAAATACTTTTGATACTTCCGTAAAACAGATATCCATTTAATTATGTTTGTTATCTTCACTCTGATCTGTTCTGCCCAATGTCAGGGCAGAAATTTATGTCCTGCAATTCATGTGCACAGTATTAAATTTGCCACAAAGCCGGGCCACTCTGATCCAACTAACTTGAGGAATTGAGTTGTTCCAATATCAATGGCTCTTGTTTTTCAAATCAGGTTGTGCACCATGCTGCCTTCCTTGAATAAAATTTGGAGAGAGCTATTTTGAACATGCTTGCAATGCTTTAAATGCACCCCACACTCCAAGCTCTCCTCAAAGAGTTAAGTGGAGTTTCCAATTAAACAGCCATCTGTCTCATTTTTATGTGGATGCTATGAATAAACTAATTGAATATATGTATTTACTACGTATATATTGAAAACAAATCAGCCCGTTTGGAGAGAAAAGAGAAAACTGCTCCTCTATCAATTCCACTGGACTGAACAACACTGCTTTTTCCTTTGACAACTCAAGCTCTGTTATCATTCCAGTGGAAATGACTGCCGTTGTTCTCTGATGGCTTTCCTCCTACTATTCCACCTCCTACTATTCCAGCTCCTATCCATTAGCAAGGGTAACTTGCTCTGAGCAAAAACATTTTCAGTCTCTACAAGTGACATGTATTTTTTTTAAAAAGCCAACAGAAGTAACAGGTAGCTCCTGGTATTGTATTTCTGCAATACAAGAAATCTGCTGGAGCCTTCCCCACAGTCTTAGAAGCGGAATTCTTTGTTCTCAAAGATGTGCATGCTAGTTTGATTCCCTCAAGGATAAATGGCAGATTGCAAGTCTCCTTTGTAGAAAGATATCTGTGAGCCATGGATAGCTTTTAAACATGGTATGGAGGGAAGCTACAATTATATTCTTCTTGCAACATGTGAATTTATCTGCGCAATTAAAGAAAGCCAAATTAATATGCATTTGAACAAATCAATTTTTGTTCTTGACATACAGATTGAGAGAATGACATCCAATATGAAAGAATATAAAGTTTTTATACCTGAAACAGTGTATGTGCATACATGCACATTTTCTGGTTTTGCATTTTAAGTTGCAGCATCAATGACGGCATTTTAAAACTTTTAAATAAGTTTTAGCATACTTATTTTCATCCTGACAGTCCCTTGCTAAACTGAACTCAGTGGCCAATAATATATTGTACACAATACACTTGTAGGTTTTCATAACACATCTTGAGCCTGGATACTAATGCCACGAGGGGCAGTAAGGCTTCTTGATAAAAATCCTAAAAAGGGCAATTACAAGATCCTTTCTCAATCTGATGCCCTCCAGATTGGTTGGATTAGAACTCACCTTTTCTCCCAACCAATAGTACCAAACTGGGAAAAAAATATCCTAGGCTCAAGTGGATTACAACTCCCAGAATTCTCAGCAATGATCATGCTGGCCGAGGAATTCTGAAAGTTGAACATATTTTGGAGGGTTTCCAGGGTTTCCTATAAGTTGATTTAGGCAAGTTAACCTTTTGGAGAAAAACAGATAAGATTCAATCCCAAATACAAACCCAGCATGAGAGTTAGTACCTCTCACTGTTTTTGGAAGACCATCAGGAGATGGCTCTGACCGAAAGCAGGTTTCTCAGGCTCTACCCAGTAGAACTCTGGGAAAATTTAATGCCACCAAATCTAAACATCTAAAACATTTCTTGCCAACAATAATTAGCCCCAACATGTTACATTCTAACTCTCCACATTATGAAAACAATGTAGCAGTTAAGCGTTCCAAAAAAACAGAATAGTGAAGACAAAAATACATGTGTACTGCAAGTATATATGTTTAAGTGTATTATGAACTTCGCAAAGCTTGAAGCTTTTCAGGGTTTTTTTCTAGCTTATGAATAGCTAGAAAAAGCAGTAAAAGTTAGAAATACAGACAGTGCACTCTTGTGATGCAAGTGCTGGAATTCAATACAATTCTGATCTATATGTAAAGAAAGAAATTCTGTATACTGAAAACTAAATGCCTCCATGATCACAGCTATTTGAGGGGGTTACAGTTTCCTGTTACAGTATTGATAAAATTAGTAAATGTATTTGCAATTAATAACAAAACACACAGTTTAGCATTTGCAACCCTGAAGACTTAGTAAAGTTAATAATTAAATTTGGGGATTAAGGGGTGCTTTATCAAGTCAGAAATTTTTCCAGGGCTCATGGTTAATGAACATCTGCTAATAGATGACATCCACAAGGGTGTTTTTATTTTTATGATGTGTTGTTTTCTCTCTCTTACAGACAAAACTCTAAATTTCAACCCTTTTAGTTTCTGGAATGCATTAAAAGAAATATTCATTTGCTTCTATGCACTGAAATTTGGTGAAGATTGTTATAGCTAGTCAATTTCATTTTGTAATTTTATGCACAAAACTAGAAATATTATTCACTAGTTCCCTCCCTATCTCTATGCTACTAAAACTCTCATTGTGTTTATCTGTTTGTCGGTTTGTGTTTATCTGTTTGTCGGTTTGTGTTTATCTGTTTGTCTTAGCCCAAATGGTGCATTATACAAGTTTTTAAATCAAGGTACCTAAATCTATTAACTTAAAGAATGTGTAAAATAATCCAGAGCCCATTACTCCTATGGAATTGAAATTTCCATGATTTAGACCATTTTATTCACAAAGTTGTGCTATTGCAGAATCTCCATAGTCACAGGATCATTATTTCTGACTTTCTGCCAGATTCCCATGAGCAAAGTCAGTGGGGAAGATGGCAGGAAGTCACAAGTTGTTCCTGAGACCCCTGAGTTTTTTTTTGCCCTCCTGTGATCATTAAATTTATCTGTTTAGGTAAGTAAATATTTATTTATTGAAATTCATTTGAAATTATAATTATTTTTCTGTGTCCTTAAATGATCAAGTAGCCATCCAATTATAATTATTTTTCTATGTTCTTCTTAAATGATCAAATAACCATCCAGCATTGGGGTAAAAAATATGATCAACCCAAAATGTAATGCTTATTCTGGTCATACAAAGCTGTACTACCTTTTCTCAAAGGAGGACACAACAGGTCACAGATTATCTAGTGACATATATAACTCCATTGTATGTAAGAAAGCTGCATTGATTTGGGGGTGTTTACTCTTGGGGAAGTGAGCATTGATTGCAACCTGTACAGCAAATCCTCAGTTTGACAGGTTTTAGATACAATGGAAAGTGGTTTCAATACTTGAGAATGGCGATTTTGCTGCAAATGATTGCATTTACATCATTTCCAATACTGCAGATTACCTAAATGATAAATTAGGTACCAACAGCCACCACAAATTATATCAATTCAGATATCAACAGCCACTATTTCTGCTCAAAAGGCTTGTTAGATCACTTGCCATCCTTTGAGACTTTCAAGAAGAGATCGGACTCCCACCTGTCAGAAATGGTGTAGGGTCTCCTGCTTGGGTAGGGGATTGGACTAGATGACCTACAAGGTCTCTTCCAACTCTGATTATCTGTTTATCTCTTTAAGGTTTTTACTGTACTTTCAAAATCTAGAGATTAAAATGTAAAGAGAATACAATCAATGCAAAGATGGAGCATTCAGAGGACAAACAATGAAAGTATTTAGAATATGTTGTACAAATGATAGCTCATTTCTATGAAAAAAAAAAGAATATTTAACACATTGTTTCAGATGCATGATCCAATGCAGAGAGAGACTGGTTGCTGGCTTTAATAAGCTGGTTCCATCTGAATATGAAGTTCGAAAGACAGTGTCCACTAATTGGAGCCTGAGGAAGAATATCTGGTGCACACTCTCCTAAATCATAAAAACAGAATACTAGTCTTCCCCCAACCCGAACCTTACAGTTTTCTTTATTGATGTCTTCCATGCGATCTCCAAATTCAAATTGTGCTTCACGGGAAGAAGAACTTGGCATTACAATCTTCAACAAAGATTCAGAATGACCCGCAGCTGCTTGGTTCTAACAAAATTGACCGACTGTTCGAGCAAAGGCAGTGGTGGTTCAATCCATTTCTGAAAGCAACAAATACATGTGTCACAATGTGTTCTACAGTATTGGATGAATTAGTAAGCAAAGGGGCCAAGAGAGAACTGGTGGGGCGAGTCACCATGACCTGAACTGTTCTGAGAAAAAGGAGAGAGTTTATGGAAAATTGTGCTTTAAACCCATTAAATAAAATTCATATTAAGGAAGGGTTGGCTTAAAAAACTATTTTCTCAGCTGTGTTTCTGATCTCTCTCTCTCTCTCTCTCTCTCTCTCTCTCCCCCCCCCCCTTCCCTCTGCATTTTAATCCCTGATTGACTTTTGCTTCTCACTTTTCTTCAAACCCTACAAATTTGTAGTTTTCCTGACTAGTGGATCATTTCTACTCTATTCATCCCAAATTCAGATCCTAAATTCTATACAATTCTAATTCCATAATTAAATACTGAATTATATACAGTCTTCTTTCTGTCCAGCCAGATTTATCTTAAAACCCATTTTTGTTATTACATCTCTAGTTGAATTCTCTTAACTATTCAACCACTCATAGTTATGTCACTCCAGGTTCTTTCTTTTTTTCTCCCCCTTTTATTGTACCCGCTGTAGCTTTAAACTTCCATTGTTGTTAGAAAGTGCTATTATAAAATTGTAATATACAAATTAAGGATCAAGGAGCAAATGATCTGCGGGTAGTATTTACTAATTTAGTCTCTATTCAGACACTCCTGTCACATGAACAATCATATGGAAAGCTGAAACTAAACTCCAGTTTTCCTGACCCTCCCAAAAAACCACTCATAGAGGGAGATACAGAATACGATTCTCCACGCTTTGGGGAGCCAGGAGATTACATTTCACACATTGAAAGCATAATATGGACTCAAATAAAGTGCCTGTCACTGTGGACGTGATGAGTTACAGTCCACATTTTTTCAGAAGACAAACTGATGATTTTGTTGCCTGACATCCATTCTTCCCTTCCTCAAGATACTCAAAGTTTGCTTTTGTCTTTTTGGAAGAGAAGTTGGCACATTTCCAGGTTCTGAGCTGTTCTCACCAAACTGTTTTCATTTTTAAAGAAAGAGTAATGGGCATTCTTGAAAATAAAAATCACTAGAGGCAGGTGATTTGCTTTGCAGCATGACAGCTTTTTCTTTTTTTCTTAAAAAAAAATTAAAATAATGTTTTTCTTTTATTTTAGAGGATCTAACAAGTATCAAAAAAGAAACGAGTACAACACAAAGGCACTACTGCAAAGCTCTTCTTCCCTGTGTTGAAGCCTCATTGTTCACATGTTTGCATCACTGGGAAAATTTACATACACATAACAGGAGCCTACAAATATTGCCTTACTAAACACACATTTAGCTAGGATAAAGAAATGGCTGGACCAGTGCAATTGTTAAATATTTATGCCCGCACAGAACTTTAAATCTATCAGGAAAACAATGGGTAGAAACAGTAGAAATTGCTGTTTAGATTTCCACCCAAACTATAATCAGCCAAAAATTATGATTTCAAACAACCCCAATGGAACACAAATTACTTTGTCATTCTTGTAGGAATTGGGTAACTTCTATTTCTCACCATTCAGCATGACAGAAAATAATCACAAACATATAAAGAAAGCAATGTCTTAAGACAGTTCTCATTTCTCTTCCTTATCATTCCCTTAAAAAAAAAAGAATAGCAAATAATGGAATAATATTATTTTTGTTCACTTTCCCATTGCTTTGTTTAAATACATTTCTTATGCAGTAGTTTAACAAAAACAAGGCCAAGTTAATAAAAACGCTAACAAAAAATGCAAAACCACTCACCAGAATGTATTGCAGGCGGATGACTATCTGTATCTCCAAATTCTGAGCTTCCATCTTGACCTCCAGGTTCCCAAGATTCACTGTTCTCAGAAACTTCAGAAAAAGTATCAAAAGTTCCTTTTTGACTATTGGCTGGATCACCAACACTTGGGGGCTGACTATCACTACTTGCATCAGATACTGCTTTGCTTTCTTCCCCTAGCCTTTCAGCAAACCACAATTTAACCTGCGAGGCGGTCATCTGAGTTCTTTCAGAGAGATCTTGGAGATCATCTTCATACAGAACCTTGTTCTTTTGAAAATAGTCTTGGAGGACCTCTTGGCTGACTTCACCGGAAACCGATAGCCCTTTGGGGAAAATGCCCTTTTTGTAGTTTTCATACCACCTCAGATTTCCATTTTTTAAACCATAGCGGCTATCTCCAAACCAGCGAATTACTTCAACCCTGGGAAGTCCAGTCTGACCACATATTTGATCATACTGTTCATTAGTAGGACGCTGTGTCTTTACAAACAGCTGTTTAAGCAAATGTCTCTGCTGAGCAGTCTTTTTAAAGCACAGCCTGGGTTTCTGTGCCCTGCTAGAAGAATTATCTTTTGTTGCTTGGGCACCCAAAGCTGCCAACTCACTTTTTCCCTCTGATTCTGTCACCTTGAAGTTTCTAAGGTTGATTTTTATTGGGGTCACTTTACGTTCACCTGGAAGTTGAGAACTTCCAGCTTCATCCAAGGAACCATTTTCAATTGACGCTCTGAAGTCATCCAAATCCTCCTCCTCTTCGATGGACTCATCCTCAGCGTCCTCATCTGCTGGCTGTTTCCTTTCTTTGTCCGCTTGTCTTTTCCTTTGCTCTGAGAACCAGCTGTCAATCTCTCTCCTTGTCATTTTAGTTTCGCTTCTCAGACGGTCTACCTCCTCCTCTAGAGGGAAGGGATTTTGTGCAAAGCTGCTTTCCAAAGCTCTGAGTTGTGCTGGAGCCCTCTCCTTATATTTTGCAGTGGAGAAATCAGGGGTCTGATGCCAGGATTGCCGACGTGCTGGTGTGTGAACAGGTGTTGCTGCTGATGCGGAAGTTAACTCTGTGGTTGTTTTTGGTGAAGTGGTAAAAGTGATTTCAGGTACAGAGTCTATTATTATTGTGCTATCCCCACCAAGCACAGATTTGTTGCCTCTGATATTTTTCCAGTGATACCTCCTATCACTAAACCACTTTCGAACTTCCCTGATGCTAAGTCCTGTGATTTTTGTCAGGCGCTCAACTTCATTTTGGCCAGGGAATTGATTCCTACAGAAACTATCTTTCAGTGCAGACAACTGTTCATAAGATTTCTTATTTTTTAATAAATTAGGATCCAAGAATGCCTGTGAAGAGACATTTGGGCAAGCAGAAAGTTGTGACTGAGCAGTACTAACTACATTCACAGTTGATGCAATACTGGAAATAGACACAGTGGTTGGAGGCTTAGCTATCTGGGTCTTTGGAATGGAGGTTAAACCTATTGCTTGAGATGAAGTTGCTCCCTGAAGTCCATTTGTTATTATTGGTTGGGTGACCAGCATGCCACTTGGTCCTTCAGGCTTTCCAACTGATTGACCAGGCAAATTGGCCTGAATGAGATGCTGAACACTACTAGGACTTGCAACTAAAGGTGTATTTAACACTGTAATAGTGGATTGGGGAACAGACTGAATCACAGTGTTAAACATTTTTTTCCGTGCATCTTCTATCTCCTCAGGTGACCAGCTAATACCCTGTTTCAACCGCTGGGCTGTAAACCAAATTTTCAGCTGCTCTTCTGGATACTTGGTCACCACAGTCAAATAGCAAAGTTCAGCTTTGGTAGGATAGGGAAACTTATGAAAAGAGTTTTTAAGAAAACTGTTAGAATCCATTGCTGCATTGTAAGTTGGAATACTACTCAAAGGAATCATTACCTTAGGGAGGGATTTTGATGTTGGCAGGTGCTGGTGAATTTGTGCTTGCTGTTGCAGTTGCACAAGTTGTGTTATGCCTGCTTGTAAAATAGGTACATTTCCAACTATTGATCCATTGACAATGGAGGTGGATTTGCCAGACTGGCTAACCGGCAGTGATCCATTGGTAAATGACAGTTCACCTTTTGTTTCTACATCCTTGACCGATTTATTAGATATCTTTTCTTTCAGTGTGTGGATTTTTTTAACTTCTGGTTTTGTTTTCATTATCTTCATAATGGGCATTTTGGTAATAATAATTTCAGCTTGACTCTCCTGACTCTCCTCAGGAATAGCCCCCAAGTGGTCCTGACCACCACTGCTATTTCCAGTAGTCTGTTCCACAATCATGTGGTTAGCTTGTTTCACTACATTCCAGATTAAATTTGTTTCTCCAACATGGTGCTCTGCATTGTGATGAGAAAGATCATCATGGCTCTTTACCAAGGAATTACACTTCACACACAAAAAGGAGGGGTCTTTAGTAAAGTCTATGTGCTCCGAATCAAGGTGATTAAGGAATTGATTCATTTCTTGAGTAGTAAAACTGCAACCTGTACATCTATAAGAAGTGCTGTCTATAATTCCATTGTGTCCATTGGACAAGGTCCCACTACCATGATTATCACCAGTGGTATCACAATTAGGCAGAATACTGGGAACTAATGTTTGACGAGTTCCTTCATGATTTACTCCAACAAAAGTGGATTTCTGTGGTGTCAGCATTTTTGCTGGTATCATGCAAGGAGTTGTGGATTTCCTTTTGCTGGCCATTATTGCAACCAGTGAGTACAATCAAAGCTTAAGAGCAAATATTATTTTTTGAATAAAGTTTGCAGAGTAAATTTGAGCAAATTCATGATCCCAGACATATGTATGTCAAGAACTGGAATAACCACTTGCATCTGCCATTGAATCTAAAAAACAAAGGAACAGTATGTTAACCAAAGACTATGAAATCCTTATACCAGTATACTCATACAGCTTTTATTTCTCAATCATATAATAAGATACAGAATCAATTTGCTTTTCCAGAATTCAAATCAGAACCGAATACAAAATAAATTGCTGAACCACATGCAAAAATGTGGCCTTACCATTTTGCTTGAGCAATATTCTAATTTGCAGGCACTGTTTATATGTCAGCATTACTATCTCTCTACATAAAAGCGAAAAAGCACTCACACATCATCACAAAATCCCCAGAACCATAAAGCCTACAAACTTGAAATTTGGCATGTATCTTCCTCTTGGCTTCTAGGTGCTCACTAAGAAAGGGTTTTTTGAAATTACCATCAGAGCATTAGTATTTCCTATATTATTATTAACACACTCTGATGCCAAGGAGTTCTACTCCCCCTCCCCACCTGAAAAGAAATCTCTTCCAAATGCAAAACACAAGCAGAGGGAGAAGGGTATCAGCTTCGGTTTTACTTTCACAGCAGAAACAGCTTTATTACAGAACAGTTTATCTAAGCCACGCCCAGGCTTCTTGCTGTCTCCTTCTTGCTCACACAGCAAATACTGTTTCAGTTTCCAAACAGCCCTGAACCCTCACCCAGTGACAGGATGCTAGCCAGATGAATACCAATGGATGCTGGTAGGCAGGCACAATTTCCCCCCCTTATTTTCCTCCCCAAAAACTTACCCAATCACATAGTTTTGTAGCGAAGCACAGTACCCTGCTAGTCAGTGATAATCTAACATCCAAAAGGAAATGGATTTGTACCCATGCTACTCTTTAATAAAAAAAGCATAGCCCAATATAATGTTACCTTTAGAACATTATACTGGTGGCTCTTCTGTGTGGAGCCCTGTTGTGGTGAAGTTGTCCAGACTACCAGGTGCATGTCCTAAGACTTTCCCAAAGCACATTTCTCTGCCTTCAGTAGGATCATCCTAATGAAGGATGCTTACATTGGCATCAGAGGTGGTGTTCAGCAGGTTCTGACCAGTTCTGGAGAACCAGTAGCGGAAATTTTGAGTAGTTCAGAGAACCGGCAAATACCACCTCTGACTGGAGATTTTACAGTATCCTCCCCCTGCCACACCCACCAAAAAATTGAATCCCATCACTGATTGGCATATAGCAAAAGGAGATTCCTTCAGCCTTCAGCTCCCATCCCTTCCGTAGAAGAAAAATCTTTACCTTTAAAATTTAAGAAAGAAGCCATGTGCCAGGGTTTGGAACAGAATTAAGCAATATTAAACTAATTTGTTCTGATCTATACAAATCTGAAAGATCCAGAAAGGAAAGCAAGAAATGTTCAAGAATCTGTTTATTTCCAAGGAATGGGTTTGAGCTAGAAATATTGCGTAAGATTAATTTTAATTGGGAAGATACATCAGTAAGTTTTATGTCTCTAATATCCCTTATACGTATTTCTCTGATGAGCGCTTAGCAATTGTGTGTCTTAGGTAATTGTCCAATAGTCTACTCAGAATTGTAGGTTTTTCCATTAGCAATTCTCTTGAGACCCTGTCTCACTGCCCTTTGTTTTTATTTCCTCCATGAGATGGTTCTGCACGACTAAAGTTTAAAAAAGAGTGTTTACTTTTTTGTTTTCCCCTTTTCCCCCCCAATATAATTTTGTTTATATTTTATGAGATTGTTCATAAAAAAGCAGGCTGATTTCCTCATGTCACAAGGTCAGAAAACGGCACTATAAAAATATTTCATTTTTGTTAGGTTTACATTTTTGTAAGGTATAGAGGTTGCTAGTGCCCAATATATCTCAGATACCAGGGGAACAATACCAGGTTAAAGCACCCCGCAGAAGATATGTGGTTGCAACAGTAACTACAAAGCTATTAAAAGGCAGAACTGGAACCAGTGTGGGGGCTTCTGGCAATAGAGGCTTAAAATCGTTCAGTGACGCACAATTAGGAAAGGGGAGATTGTAGACTGCATGAAATGAACCACCCAGCGTACAAAAATGAGTGGCAACAGGAGAAAGGAAATAAGTCATAGAAGTTATAGAATAACAAAGTTGGAAGAGATCTTGGAGGTGTTCTAGTTCAACCCCCTCCTTGAGCAGCAGACCCTAGTCTACTCTGGACAAATGGTTGTCCAACCTCTTCTTGAAAATCTCCAGTGATGGAGCATCCACAATTTCTGGTGACAAACTGTTCCACTGATTAATTGTTGTGTCTGGAAATTTCCCCTTAATTCTAGGCTGGATCTCTCTTCAATAATCTTCTACCCATTACTTCTTGTCCTGCTTTGGAGAATAGGTTGACCCCCTCCTCTTTGTGGCAGTTCCCATTGGAAGACCTCTAGTCCTTCTCTTTGCTAGATCAGACATACCTCGTTCCATTCATCATTCTGTTTAGCCTCCAGACCCCTAATCATCTTTGCACTGTTTGAGTCTCAATATCTTTTTTGGATCAGCATGGTCAAAACTGGACGCAGTATTTCAAGTGTGGTCTTACTGATGCAGAACAGGTAGGGTCAGCTTACAACCATTTGTTTAATGACTGTTCAAAGTTACAACGACACTAGAAAAAGTGACATGACTATTTTTCACATTTATGACTGTTGCAGCACCCCCATGGTCACGGTAAGTTCCTTTAATTTGAAATGAATGCAGAAACCAAATAGCCTATGACTACAAGGGGATCTACTCCTTATTGCTGCAGACCATTAATTTATTTAATGTATTGGTCATCCACTTCCCAAACAACTTTGGGAGGCTTTTAAGTATGCATGTATGTATGTATGTATGTATGTACGTATGTATGTATGGTATTCAGCTTTGTTCGGGTATTTTCCCACGTCATTATGGTTGTGCTTTTAAATACATGTAAGTACCTGCGAAAACTTAAGAGAAATATATATATATATATAAAATTTGTTTTCGTAGATTGTCACAGGTACAGGTATGTAGGTCTAGGTGTGTTCGGGTCTTTTCCTGTGTAAGATTAAGAATATCTTGGCGACGTTTCGGCGAGGTCCCACTCGCCATCCTCAGGCTGGTGCTTTCAGCTTCGTGCCAGTGCAAGCAGTGTGTGATCTGAGTTGCCGTCTTTCTATAAATACTGGTGGTGGGGGCTAGTGTGCTGGGCTGGTTGGCTGAGCTGCTGCCTCTTGATTGGTTGATGGAGTTGATGTTGGTATAATGGGCTGCTGTGTGATGGCCTTGTGAGTTTTGTTGTGGAGATATCCTGGATCTTGTGCTGTAATCTCCTGGGTCGTTTGTTTTGTTGTGATCTTTTTTCCATTACCCTCTCGTGTTTTAACGGCTTGGGTAATGGATTGTGTGATGGGCTTGCGAGTTCTTTTGTTGTGGTATCCTGGGTCCTGCACTGTAATCTCCTGGGTCGTTTGTGTTTTGATCTCTTTTCCATTAGTCTCCTGTGTAGTAACGGCTTGGGTAATGGGTTGTGTGATGACCTTGTGAGATTTATTCCTGTGTTATCCTTGATCTTGTGCTGTAATATCCTGGGTCATTTGCTGTGTTGCAACTTCTTGAGATCTTGTGGTGTAATTTCCTGAGTTTTCTGATGTGATGTCCTGAGTGGTGGCTGTGATGTAGCATTCTGGGTTTTAGTCTGGCTTCAAGTTTGGGGTCTGGGTCTGTGTTCTTGGCATGTGTCAGCTTGTTTGGTTTTGGGGTCGGGGGGTGAGACAGCTGGCGAAGCAGCCGTGGTCTGTTTTCTGGATGGTGGTTGTCCTTCGTTTATAGGATGGGCTTGGACCTGGGTCTGATGAGGGGGATTGGTGGTGGTGTCCTGTGTTATTTCTGGTCTGGTGTTGGTTTTCGTGGTTGGGACTCGTTTGTTGGTGAGGGCTAGCTTCCAGATGTCTGGTAGGTGGGAAGTATCATCCCGTCTATTCATGTTATGGGGTTGTTTCTCTATCTCAATGGCTCTCCTGATTATTCTCTTGCTGGAGTGTTCAGCGTTGTATATTAATTTGGTTCCCTCGAAATTAATTTCATGTCCTGTGGCTTTAAGGTGCTGGAAGAGGGAGGAAGTATATTTTCTTCTCTTCTGACTGCGTTTTTGTGTTCTGCGATGCGTGCATTTATTTTCCTGTTGGTTTGTCCAATGTATGTGGCTGAGCAATTGTTGCATGGTATTTCATAAACTCCTTGGTTTTCTAGCTGGATCTTGTCTTTGGGGTTTCTTAGGATGTTGGCTATTTTTTCATCAGTGCCGAAGGCTGTCCCCGATATTGTGTTTGTGGAGAATTTTGCTGATTTTATCTATGGTGCCTTTGATGTAGGGGAGGAGTGCGATACCGTTGTCTTGTTCTGTGTCTTTGTTTGGGGGGGTATCTCTTTTCAGATTAGATTGGTGATAGTGTTTCTTTGGAATCCATTGGAAATTAATACGTTAGTGAGTGTGTGTTCTCAGGTGGTCTTTGTCAGCTAGGCGTTTGGTTCTGGATATAAGGGTCTTGGCTATGGAGTTGATCTCTGCAGGGTGGTGATGGGATTGTGCATTTAGGTAGCGGTTGGTGTGTGTGTTTTTTCCAGTAGCTGGTGTGTCCTAGGGAGCCACTGGTTTTTTTGTAAATTAGGACGTCCAGGAAGAGACGTTTGTTGTTGGTTTCTGTTTCCATGGTAAATTGTATTTTGGGGTATAGGTTGTTAAGATGTGTGAGGAAGTTGTCCAGTTTTTCTTTCCCATGTGGCCAAATTACAAAAGTATCATCTACATATCTGAGCCAGAATTTGGGTTTGTGTTCAGGTTTGTCTAGAGCGTTGGTTTCAAAGAGTTCCATGTATGTTAGTGATGGTGGATGAGAGGGGTGATCCCATGGGTGCTCCTTCTTTCTGTTTGTATCTTTGTGCATTGTAGATTAAGTATGTGTTGGTTCAGCAGTGGTTGGTCAGATCTAGGATGTGTTTGGCGGGGGTTGTATTTGTTTTGGATGGCTGTCAAGGCTTCTTTGATGGGTACTTGGGTGAAG